GTTTCTATATTGGCTAGAATTAAGATTATTTTTATTTTTCCAGTTCATGAGGACCGTTTTCTTGGCGATGCATAGGGCAGTAAAAACCATGTGGACTGTATTCGTTTCTGTAGTGACATCATCCAAATTTCCCAACAAGCATACTAAAGGGGAGGTTGGAATTTTACATTTCAGACACTTTGATAAGTCTTCACACATCTCGTGCCAAAACTTCTGCACTGGTGGACAGAACCAAAGAGCGTGGATGTAATTGTCTGGTGTATTGCCTTGACAGTGTGAGCAGTTGTTGGCGGATGTAAAGCAAAAACATTTGGGCTTTAAGTGAAGGTTGTCTGTATGCACTGAAACACCCGACTCTGGAGAACAAACAAACAAGGACTTCCCAAAAACTGTTCCTGTCATATTAAAGAATGAGAACAGCTCTTTGACTGATTTTGGCTTTTTATCTTTGCAAAGTTTAAAAGTTGTTGTTTTTGTTTTTGTTTCTCTGGGAGCTTCGAACATTCGTCCTGCAGCTTTACATCCATCTTTGTCTTTATTGCTGTGAGCATGAATAAGATTGAAGATTGGTGATCCCGCGTTTCTAGGTGTGGTTGGATGAACTGGACATTTGCTGCTGCCTCTCACAGCATTGATTTGCATTGATTTGCATTGATGGCTGGTCTGTATCATGTAATAAATAAAGGTTCAGTTCACACAATAATAACAGACACTCTTTAAAACCGAGTAAGCAGCTTTTCCATGAACGACACTAATGACTTCTTGGTTTGATTTTTTAAAATCATATTATAAAAACTTTTCTTTTCCTCCAGCATTTCTTGACTTCCTGTTCTGTTTGTTTTTTGCTGAAGGAGACAGAGGGAGGCAGCGTCTCTTCAGACATTTCTAACAAACTCCCTGAAGAAGAAGAGCCAGGTGGCACCGAGCCGACACCTAAGCAGGTAAGTAACACTCAGTCGCTGACTTGCAGTTGTGAGGCCATCTCCAGATCACCCAATCTCTGGGTTGTCAGTGCTTGTTGATTTTGAGGGGTGGGGGGTGTTTGCAGGTGGTCGTAATCGCTTGCATCATGGCTGTATTTCCCACCTCTAATTACTGCTTCTGTATTTTTGTCCTGTCCAGCCAGCTGTAGAGAAGCTACCACAGGAGAAGATGTCTGAACCAATCTCAGAACCAGAACATTTCACTGATCCAACCCCTTCCAACATCTCCAATTCCTGTCGAAAGTCAGACAACCTGAAACCTGAAGTAGATCCAGAACCCACAGAGGAGCCATCCTCAGCTACACCTGATTCAGATTTGAAGACCTTGAGCAGTGGGGAGTCCTCTGATGATGAGGACAACGAGAAGGAGACAGCAGAGAAGGAAGGCAAAGCCGCCAGCATCCTCCCGTCCTCCGTCCTGGACAAAGCTAGCGCCATCGCCCAGCACTTCACCAACAGCATCAAGCGAGGCACCGTGGCCCAGGATGATGCCTGCTCACTCGGTTGTCCTTCACCTCGGTTACCCAGCAGGAGTGGCAGCAGCCTCAGCCTGAGTGCCGAAGCAGACGACCGACCTCCGCGGCTCTGCAGCTTTGTTGCCGATCCTGCAGAGACCTTCGGTGGGTCCGATTTGACCATGTTGTCTCCTCGAGATGACAGTCTCTTTGACAGCGACCGAAGCATTAGGCGAAGACGGGACTCCACGCTGTCCAAGCAGGACCAGCTGCTCATTGGGAAAATCAAGAGTTACTATGAAAATGCTGAAAACCAAGATGCCACTTTCAGTCTTCGGCGCAGAGAGAGCCTCACATACATCCCATCTGGGTTGGTCAGGAGCTCCGTCAGCCGGTTCAACAGCACCTCGACCTCCTCCACCTCCACTGTGGACCCTACTTATGCAGAGTCACACTCTGCTTTACCCCAAAACACCCAGGATCTTATGGGCTGTAGTGGTTCTTTGGACTCTTTGAAGTCTGAACAAAGAAGCACTGATCCAGAAGATTCAGAAGGCAGCCAGAGGTCCAGGTCTCAAAGTGTGCAGGATAATCTCTCTGATGATGAAAACTTCAAACCTTCATCTGAAATGATTAAGATCTGGCAGGCGATGGAGCGAGACATCAAAAAATCCCAGACTGAAGATGGAGGGCAGGATCGAACCAAAGAAGCTGCAGTAACCTCCAGGATCTCCGGCCTTTCTTTCCCAACCAAAAACTCTTCCCAAGAAAGCAGAGCTTCTGATCTCAGAACAATCAAAGAAGAGTCGACAAGCCCTATGCCCCTCAAGCCCAAAGCCTCAGAGGTGAACCGGACAGGAAGCGTGAGGGAAACGCTAAAGATGTTTGGGGAAGAGGCCGCCGTCCTCAGGGCTCCAGTGCCTCATGTCACCCAGCTGAAGGTGGAGGCAGAAAAGGACCACCCCAGTAGCGCTTCAGACCAGGTGGTCGAAGTGGACAAGATGGCAAGCAAAGTCCTCCACCTGGCTCGTCAGTACAGTCAGCGAATCAAAACCTCCAGTCCGGTGGTCCGACAGCGAAGTCAGGGTCTCCTCTTTGGAAAGAAAAGCTTAGCCCGTGTGGTGGAGGAGAGGGAAGGTTTGGGTACGTCACTTTGCACGCTGCTTAACATTTCAAACCAGCAATCCTCAAGGAAATCTATCTATTGATTGTCTATGTGACCATAGGACCACTAAATCTTCAACCAACGCAATTCAGAAACTGTATTTAATTCTCTTTTGACTTCTTGACATTCACCAGGTCGTCAGTGACCTTTTGTGGTACAGTTAGGGTTATCGATCGTCAACCTATCCATTTTATATGAAATTTTAATTTAGAAAATCAGATAGTACACCTGTAAGGTGATAACACACAGGAGAGACTGGATTAAAAATTTATCTTTTTTTTATACCATGTATGGGAAAAGTGTGATGTTAACCCTGACCATACTCTGAGTCCTGCACGGGCTCGACGACCTGCTGGATGTTAAGAGATTAATTGTTGTAAATGTTTGTTCTGTGTGTTTGCAAAACTGGGTATATATTCAGTCCTGCTCAGCCTGAGCCTGCCCTGCCTTCAGCAAACTCTGCTTCTTTAAATAAACCATTTCCTGTTGAGCAACCGATCAGTCCAACCTGCCCACACACGCTTAGTCTGCGCCCGCTGCATGAAAAGAAAAACAAAAAAACAATGGTACCACATGTAGTTATAACACTGTACTGCCACCTTCAGGTAAAGATGGTAAAATGCGCTGCTTAGGGGCAGATTATAATCTGAACAGCCTAAAGTGATGAGCTCATCTTTCCTGAAGCTGAAGTAAAATATCACAGCTGCATGTGGTACCATTGTTTGATTTATGTAGAAGCCAAACATATGTTTATGGATTATTATGGCTTTTGTTAATCATTTCTGTAAGTTATCGGAACATTGTAACGATCAAATTTAAGATTGATTTAAATATGTTTTGTTTGTTTTGTTTTTTTTCTGGCAGGTAAATCCAGCCTGACTCTGCCGCTGGTTTCTCATAAGCAGGCAACTTCTTTGCCGCTGAGTCCCGTAGACCACATGAGGTCTTTAACCCTCGGCTTCACCTCCAGCTCAGCGGGAAACTCCAGGGGCGTCTCCTCGGGCCGGCCTCACTCTCGCAGCCCCCTCAGTCCACCTCCTCCCCTCGAAGGCTTCAACTGGCCCGATGTCCAGGAACTCCGTTCCAAGTACTCCGCCAACAGCTGCTCCCAGAAGAGCGCAGTCAGTCGGAGTCAATCCATCCCGGAGCAATTCGACAGCAGTCTGAGGAGGCACTCCAGCTGCTCCTCAGGCCGCTTCCTCGCTGATGAAGCTCCCAGAAGGGTTTCTTCACAAAGGCCTCACAGAAATGCCAGCCGGGAGGAACGCAGCAGACGGCTCCTCAGAGCCAATTCCCTGGATCCTCGGCTGAGTGAATCTCAGATGAGTGAGTTCCAAAAGCTCCAGGACCAGGTGGCAAACGACGGTTACTACATTGCAGCTGAGGCCCCCCTAACAAACGACCCCGAACACAAGATCATTGTCATGGAGAAGCTTCCAGAGCCAGAAGTAACAGCCAGAGACAAAAAAGATGAAAGTTACGTCCAGATCCGTTCACCCACCAGCAGAGAGAAGATCTCCATCATGGCTGTCATCGACCGGTGCCGGGCCTACCAGGAGTCTGACGAATACCAACAGAGGGAGGAACTGAAGGCCAAAACCGAGCAGAACAAGTCCACAGCATTGTCTGCTGATCAAGATGTTTCCCAGAAAACAGGATCAACCTCAGGACCGAAGGCGGAAGGTCAGCAGAGCATCGTGAAGAACCTGAGGGAAAGGTTTCAGAGCCTGAGCTGAAGAAAGAGTTGTCCGAGCTCTCCTCTACATGTTACGACTCTCAGTTTATAACCAAAGATGTAACAATGACAAGCTGCTCAAGTTTTAACGATGACATAATTATTTAATTTATGTGAGCATGAAAGGAAAAGCTGTTCTAGCATGTGGTAATGGCACAAATGTTCAGGGGGGTGAAATATTAAAACAAAGAAGTTATCATATGTGTATATAAAGTCTGCAGTTAGAATTCTTTCTGCTATCTGAGAAATGTAAATATCTTATTGGAAATCTTGATGGCAGCACCTTTCTGTGCAGGATGCCGTGTTTTGCACAGGGTTATTACATCATTTTCTGTCCAGGTTGAATCAGGACTACACTAAGGGATCGCTTAAAGCTCCAAACTGCAGCCACTTAAACTTAAACTTTAAAGCTCCACTGTGAGAGGACTAACCACTAAACTCACGTTCATTCCCGGTGTAAAAAGCGACCAGGTTGAGTGTGTGCTGTGTGCCGAGCATTTCACCTCTTCACCTGACCTCCCTGAAGCCCCAACTCTTGTGACTCAGAGGTCAGACTGATGCAGTGGTTTGGAATTACTGCAGCACTCGATCACTGATTTTAAATTTCAGAATATGGATTTTTGGATTTTAAAAATATGGAGGTCTACATTGTCAGCACCAGACTCACCTCTTTGTTGTCAGAGGTCTTGTTGCAGAAATTACGGCCTTCATATTTCATTTGTTTGATGGTGATTTTATCAGAGACCACCCATTCCTTGGTGATAATGAGTCTTTGAACAGTCACCTCTGAATCACCAGAGCTTGGTTGGGGTATTTGGACCACCCGGAGCAGCGGGGTGTTGGTAACGCCACCGTTCGGTGAGGTCAGATTGTTCTTTGTGTTAATGTCTGCTTGATATGAAGGCAGCTTTAATCCCTCCGTTAATCCCACAAAGACCAAACCGTCCTTTAAAGGAGCGGTACTTTATATCGAACTCTCTGTGACTGGCTGCGTTTAGACTGTCTGTAGGGGGATGTGTTGGCTCCAAAAGAAGAGGAAAAGCCCCTCAGAGTTTGTGATCTGCACTTTGTGAGTTGGTAACTTGTAGAGTGAGGAGCTGACCAAGCTGGTCGTGTCTGAGGGCTGGGGTGAGAGGCCTCGTCATGATCAGGACTTCCTCTCCTGGATCCGCCTGCTATAGATTCAGACTGTTGAGACTAGAAGACTGTTCAGTGAAGCCAACATGAACGCACCTGATACCTGCACACAGTGTCAGTTATTGATCATCAGCTTCTGGTCACACTGATTGATTGTGGTCACCATGTTAAAGTCAGACTGTTCCTTCCAGTGACTAGAACTTTAAAGACATAACCACGAGTAAATGTTCACGACAGCCAGAGCAGTGCACGGAGCCCCAAACCTGCCTCATTAGAAAAAAAATTAATAAACACAGGTGATGGATTTATTAACTGTCCAGTAATTACTAAACTGTAAATACGTGAAGTACAAATGATTTTTTTTTTTGTGGCCAAGTTCTTTTTCCTGTTAACAATCATAAATATTCAACTGTAAAAGTCATTAGTAGTTTATTTAATAATTGATATTTAAAGGAATTTCAGTTTTTGTGCCTTGTTGTTGTATTTCATCATATTTTATGTAAGTCAATATTTTCCTAATAAGTCATGTGTTGGACTCTGCTGCTAGCATTTTGTTCAGAGGCACATGGCAGATTTCAACATGTGACTTCCCACCTGCATATCCTGCTCCTCAGTCCACTGTTAACAGTCATGTGACAATGTCATGTACTCCTTATTTATTTGATCAGATGTAAATAGAAACACATCACCTGTCTTTCTATAAATGTGTGCGTGTGTGTCTACAAATGTGTTTGTATGACATCTGTTCTGCATTAAAACTAAATATAGAAGAAAAAGCGTGTACATTCTTTACATGTACACAGTATTATGTGTTGGTGTCATGCACACAGTTCTCTTCCTGCAGCATCCCTGTCGGTCACAACGACTCTGCTGATTGGTTGATGGATGCAGGCTCGATTTCATACTGAAGAAGCTCAGAGTCGTGCAGCCAGCTAACGTTAGCGCTCAGACTGCTCCTCTCACATTACTCACCCAGAATTATCGTGCTGATAAACACTGTGCACGCCATAATTTGATGTTAAATTTGTGTTGTTTTTTTTAAGTATGACAGAATGACACGAAGTAATTGATGATGGTTGTCATCAATACTGTAAAAGAAGCCTGTACAGACATTTATTACACACCCAGTGTGTAAGGTTTACACTAGGGCTGGGTATTGTCACTGATTTCTAGAATTGATTCGATTCCGATTCACAAGGTCCTGAATCGATTTGATTCTATTTGAATCTGGGAAATTTTGCCTCAGACAGTCAGAAATATTATAATTCTGTACTTATCAGTACATATCTATATTTTTATATCTATAAAAAGAAAGCTGATACTTGTGAGACTTTATCAAAGGTGTAAGCATCACAGCAGATGCCTTTGTGGCAAAGTAACTGAGGATAAAACACAGAAAAACATGAAGGCGGTTTTCCTGGTCTGGGTTTTTATATCAGATGACCTTAAAAATATTGTGCAGTCAAAAACGAAGAGAAGCAGAGCAAAGGGGGTTTTTTTTTGTTTTTTTTCTGTTATTTTGTTTTGCCTGTCCCGTTTGGTTCTTTTGCTATCAGAATTATTGTCTAAAGGCGAAGAAAGATGCCCAACGGATTTACTTTACCAAATGGACCATCCCAGCCTTGCCGTAATATCTATTTGATTCACCTTTTATTGTTTATTTTATTTTTCATTTTCACTTGTTAGATACGGGACAGACTTGAATGAGGAAAAGAAAAGGGAGAAAGAAAGAGGGAAAGAAAAACAGCAGAGAAGAGGGACGGGGATAAAGGGCAAAAAACAACAAAATAAGCAGACAAAAAAAATACATATATCAATCACCTGGATCACCTGTTGAGAAAGAAAAAAGTAAATAATAAATATTAAACATTATTGTGCAGCATGCAAGATCGACAGCGCACAGTGTGCTTT